GTTAGGTTTGGCAGAGTGAGGGAAGAGAATACAGGAGAACAGACAGTGAGTTTATCAGATTTGACCTGCGAGCTGCTAATGAGCTGCTAACAATCGGACTCTCTCTGCAGCAGAGAGGGTACAAGGGTGGGTGTTTTCACGAGTTTAGGGTTGAGTCTTAAGAGGTGGGTCAGGGGTGAAGCATGAGGTAAACTGCCTAGGAAGAGGGTTAGGGTTGACCAGCTTCTGCACGATATGAGGTTACTGACAAGCCTGTTGTTTAGCAGGCAATGTTCTCTAGTCAGGTACAACTGGATGAACGAGAACTGTGGCCACAGACCAGGACGGTAAAGGGGCAGGGCAGGAGTTCCAAGAGGACAGGAAGCCCAGCGTAACCACAGGTCATTGCTTGATGGATTGCTAGGGAGCAGACAACGGGGCAGGCAGAATGGTGGCTTCTGCCTCCTACAGGAAGTAAGTACTCCGGCTTCTTTCCTGTCTCTGTTAGCAATGTTCTTTACAGCTCTGTAAAGCGTTAAGTTCTCTGTGTGTACTGCCACTGACATTTGATGGAATGAGACTAAATCTCCATCTGTGTCAAATGGGGAGTTCATGAGTATAGTAAAGATTTAATGAAAAGCAAAATACAACTTGAAACTGTTTTCCACATCGAAGAAAGCAACATAAATGCTTTCAAGAACTTAATATAATTTATGGATTGAATAAAATTTATTAACTAAAATTTAATAATATCCAACATGCCAATTTGTTAGCTTACATTTTATCTTTAAAAAAATGAAATCTTCCTTTTCCCTTATGTTTTATGGTTCTAGTATTGTGTCTTATATAAACTGCAGATGAAAAGGTACCATGTTGCAGCTAAAGTACAGTGAACTTTATGAAAATAAGCTTATGAAAATAAGCGTATGAAAATAAAATAGGACCTCCCTAGATTATATAAGTGACAATACAGCTATGCTTCATCAATATTATAAGATGTACTTTTTCATGTATTTAACAATTATTCGGTGTTAAATAATGGTTAATTATTGGGCGATTATGATGCAACATAGCACAGTGTTGCAGAAACTGTGGGGTAGAAGGCATGACCAGTTTCTCATACCCTGAGGCCTTTGTCTGCACCTTGGTTGCTGGGTCAGTCCCCAGAACTTTGAGCCAGTGACGTGAACTAAGGAGTTCTAACTCCCAGTACTCGCTTTACGTAAGGTGATTCTATGACTGGGGCTGCCCCCAGCACCGACCTACCAGCTTCCTCAGATTATGACCTCCCCCAAAGCCCTGTCCCACCACATGAAGCAAAGCCAGGACACCACTACCCACTCCTGTGGGCCTTGAAGATCAGGAAGATCTGCGGACAGCCTCCCTGCTAGAAGAAGGTGAAATTCCAGGAAGGTCAAGGGTCCACCACCCTCCTGAAGACTCTCAGGATCATCCACCCTTATTTCTTCTTTTCCTTGGTCAACGCCAGAAGTGTAAGTCTCTCCATCTGTCTTCTCTCATGTTTTATTCCCTTAATGCACTCTGCCTCCTCTCCTTCCTCCCAAGCCATCCCATTGCACCACTTCGGACCTCCATGACCAACTCATGTCGTCTAACTAGGTAATCCTCATCCTAAGGACCTCAATTCAAATATGACTTACTTCAAGACAGCTTTTCTGACTCTGCCAACTAGGTAAGATCTTACCTATTAAATGTCTTCAAAGATCTTACTTATTAGTTGCCTCCATTACTAGTTACCTTCTACTTCACATCACTTACCATACACTTAACACGACTTGCTAAAGGTTTATTTTCTTACCTAGATTGTAGACTCCATGACAGCAGGCATGATGTCTGTCTTACTCACATTGTATGTAACCAGAACTTAACCTAGTAACTGACACATAATAGGAATTCAGCAGATATTTATGAAATAAAAGAAAGAGGAGAGACATGAGCAATGAGAAGAAATTTGTTCCCAGGTTAGAACTCGGAAGATACTTTCCAAGAGAAACATCATGATCATACAATGTAGGCTGTGCCCTAACTAGACCACGGGCTCTGTGGCTCCCTGTGGGCTGGCCGGCCAGGATCCTAAGCATCTTAGCCCATTACCCCTGCAAAGAAAAATGCTGTTTAAGTCAATAAATACACCTGTGAGTTGGACCTTTGTGTTCTGTGGTATACAGCACTAAGCTTCTAGACCTGTCTACCACTTTGGGTGTCTGACGCCCTTTTATCTCAGTTGCCCAAAGGGATTCTCGTGACAACTCTCTGAAGGCATTAACCCAACGCAAAGCATATTTGCCTAGCAGATAGGTGCAAAGCCTTGCACTGGGTGGTGGGGACCCCGAGGAAAGAAGACATGATTTCTGTTCCCAGCAGCTCACATTTTAGACACACAGAAAGGATTCCTAACCCCATCTTGCATGTGAGGTTGAATGACTTGCCTGAGATCACACAGTCATTAGCGATGGTACTTGCCCCCTGTTCTGACGTCTCCTAGCTGATAAACTGGATGTTACACTGCATAGGTTGGGCCCAATGGAAAGCCTTCGATGTTTTAGTTCTTTAAAAAAGATTTTTTTAAAAGTTCATCTATCTTTCTGTGTTTTATGATAAGCCTAAGAACACGTGTTTTACTTGAAACAGATGCTGACAGGTGGAGAAGGGCACATAGCAAGGGCTTAGGCATGCGGCCAGTTGCTTACATTGGAGTCCTGGAGGGTGAGGCGTGGGTGGAGAATCCTCATGGGCCAAGTTTCTTCCTTTCCCCTGGGCCTTAGAGGAGCTGGAGCCACACAGGAAACCGCTGAAGGGACTCTGAGGGGTTCTCGGGCACCGAACTGTGGGGCCTGGCTCCACAATGGGGCTCAGCTGCTTCGACAGCCCTGCTTCCCTCTGGCCCGAGGCCCAGGCCACATGACATCATCATTTACGTGAAGGTTCCTGGATTACAAAAAGTCCCTGATGGCCGCTGAGCAATCTGGGAGGCCTCACTGAGAGGAAAATCTGCTGAGGAAGCAACCACCTCTCCGCCTGTGTGACTCTAGGGATTCTAGTCACAGGGTCCGAGCTGCCCAGATGAGACAGCCCTGGTGAGGGACCGCAGGAGAAAGGATTCCCTTAGGTCTCAGATCTGGACTGCGAACAATCACTGAGAAGCAATGAATGGGGAAGCTGCTGGCAGGAAGAGGCAGAGGGTCAGGAGACCGGATAAGCTCAGGGCATGGACAGTGAGTGATGTTGCCCTAACTCTGGCACACTGTCTCTCAGCATTGTCGGCTTCCTTCAACAGTGGCCTGACTGCGCCTTGGGAGCAATCGACCTGGCTCAGGTCTCCATCCATCCTCGTGACTAGCTAGCTATGGGACCTCGTACACAATATTTATCTTCTCGGGCCTCATTTTCCTCATCTGTGAGGAAAACATCCAAATACTTATCTTGGATGATTTACATGAGAATTAAAGAGAACTCCTTTATCTTCACCCCACAAATATTTATCAAATGCCCACTATCTGCCAAGAATGTTTCCAGGCACAAAGATCAGCAATAAAGGGGTAAAATCCCTAAAATCTCTGCCTTCATGAAACTTATGTTGTCTGTTTCCATTTAGCACAATAAATACTTAATAAGTTAAACATATGATCTGTCAGACATTGATGACAGTTCTGGAGAAAAATAAAGCAGAGGAAAAGGGCGTTGCACTTTTTAACCGGGGGGTCAGGAAAGGCCTCGCTGAAAGGATGGTAGTGAACACAGATCTGGAGGAGCGGAGATGCTACACATGGCACCTGCTTGCCCTCGGCCACAGAACAGGCACTGGGATTTTTCTATTATTGCCATCATCACAATTCTCCTAAGTATTCATGTGCTCCTTAGTTTCCCAGAAAGATCATTAATAAATAATTTGTAGAAACAACTCAAAATATTGATACTAATAGTACTGATAATAATGATGACCAAATTTGTTGGACTCATTCCCGCTTACGGGGTGGGGTCTGAGTTACAGAACCTTTCTCCAGGAGAATAACTTACAACTCTGGGTTGTAGGAGAGATTCCCTTAAAATGCTGATTGGTTTTCAGTGTTTGAAAAGGCAGTAGTGATAGGCTCTCGGACTTCCCTGCTCTGGGAGCAGCTCTCCTGCCACAGCTCCTCACCCTCTGAAAATACGCGCCTGCGCACAGTTTGTCTTCACCTCCGCCTTGTTCAGGGGCACCTCTCAGCTGCTGAGCTGGTCACTGTCTGCACTGGTGCTGAAATGACCAGAGATGTGGACAGATGACAGCCTCGGCAGTCTGGCAGCCCCATGTCCTCTGACTTCACTGGTTTCTTAGCTGCAGCTTCAAAACCAGAGCCCTTTCAGGGACATCGGCCCAGCAGCCAAGGTCACTGGGGCTGCCACAGTAGGGGTGGTTGGCTCTGGGCCTGGAACTGCGGCTGTGTTTGGGAGTCTCGTCTTTGGTGATGCTAGGAACCTTTCTCTGAAGCAACGGGTCTTCTATGCCATTCTGGGCTTTGCCCTCTCAGAGGCCATGGGGCTCTCTGGCCTGGCCATGACCTTTTCTCATCCTCTTTGCCATGTGAAGAAGCCATCGCCACCTCCCATAGTTCTTTCTCCTATGTCTTGTCTGCCCTGGATGTTCTTTTTCCTATACCTTCCTAGGCAGCCTGGGGAAAGGGGTTGGCTCAGAGTTGGACAGAAGACAAAGAAATACTATATTAATAAGAAATATTATATCAAATTTATATGCTGTAGGTAACTGATTGTATATTTCCCTCAACTTCAATTAACCCCTTTTCTTGAAGTTTCCAAAACTAAAATAAAAACATAATATGAGGCATTATAAAGTGTGTTCAAGAAATTCCAAGTTCTATCACAAATCATTTTGTGTAACCTTGAGAAACTTGCCTCACCTCTCTGGACCTGTGTTTTATATTTTATATTATCCCTTGTAAAATAAAGTAACTAGCTCCTTCTTAAGTTTTTTCTGTGACTAGTGAGTACTAATTACTTACTCAATGGAGACAATGACAGCATTCAGTTCCTCAGCCATCGCTGTACACAGTTCATCGTAATAGCTGATTTCTACAGGAAACAAAGGAATAATCACTATTAAACAAATTATTTAATACTGTCTTTTCTTAAATTCTGCTGTGGATTGATTTTAGACTTCAATTTAAGTTATTAATAATAAAAAGCAAATGGGAACATATATCTCCTTAATACAGTTACATGTACAAATGCAGAACTTAAATCGAGTTTTCGATAAAAACCAATTACTATAAAATAACAGGAAACCCACATTAGATTACATTTGAATGTATTTTTAATGCACTAAACATTTATTTTATAATGGACTACAAGAAATGAACCAAATTAATTCTGATTCTGTAGCTCTTCAAATGTATGCTTTTCAAAAAATCATAGCACATAAGCAGTTTTCTTTTTAGAAACATAAAAATTTTCTCTTTTAACATCCTCATTTGCTACAATTCAGGAAAGTCACCAATTTGAAGAATATGGTATTTTGTTTAAACCAATATATAACAGACTAGAAATTTTGTTTTATTTTTTATTGTTTATTTTTAGAGAGAGGGGAAGGTGGGGGAAGAGAGAGAGAGAAACATCAATGTGTGGTTGGCTCTCACATGGCCCCCACTAGGGACCTGGCCCGCAACCCAGGAATGTGCCCTGACTGGGAATCGAACTGGCAACCCTTTGGTTCTCAGCCTGCGCTCAATCCACTGAGCTACACCAGCCAGGGCCCAGACTACAATTTTAAAACTCTTAGCAATTCTTAGAAAGAGGGTCCAAATGTTTTCAGTGACAGAACCAATTTTATAATGTAAAAAGTCACCCCTTAGCTGTCTGTTCTTTCAAAATATGAAGAGCAGATTGTGCCAACAGAGAGCCACATAATCACCTTAGCCATAGGCCTTCCAAGGCAGTCTTGGAATCAGAAGTTTAATGACTACATGAGCCATTTGCACATCTCCCTCAGCCTGAGCTCTTCCCCTGGCAAAACGGATCAGTCAGAATGGTGTACAAAAGGCCAGGCTGACTCATAATTTGTACCAATCCCCCTACTTAAACCTCCTGGCCTCCAATGTAATGTCTCACCTGGCAAGTGCTCAATGGACTCATTCTTTTCTAGGAAGAAGATTCTGCCTTATGCATTTCTAAATCCTCATCGCCTAGGACACATTAGGATGACCAAAGGTCCAACTGTGCACACAACTGAGGTTTTGTACCGGAAGTCCTGTACCCCAGAAGACTCCTCAGTCCTAGGCTATCCTGTGTATTCAGTAGACATCTGCTGGAAATGTGAACGAATCAACAACTAAAGGGATAAATGATGAATATGGAGTTAAATGAAATGGAATTAGTAGAAAAAGTTATACTTCTGGCTTTCACCTCATGAAAAACATTATTAAAAAAAAACTAGAACTAGTTGTCATCGCCTTTAAACTTAGGGGATGCCAAAGCTCCGGGCTGAAGATGAGGAAGCCACTCCAGGGAAATCACAGGCAGAGATGAGGCCCTCACTTCCTCCCTGGCATGCGACCCAATGGCCTGCTTCACGGGGCAGCTTGCCATCGTGAACCTGTTCTGCTTATGAAAGTAACCTAACACTAAAGGAGACATTCTTGCCCTGGCTGGCATAGCTCAGTGGATTGAGCACGTGTATGTGAACCAAAGGGCCGCTGGTTTGATTCCCAGTCAGGGCACATGCCTGGGTTGTAGGCCAGGTCCCTGGGTGTGGGGCATGTGAGAGGCAACCACAAATTGATGTTTCTCTCCCTCTCTTTCTCTCTTCCTTCCCTCTCTCTATAAATAGATAAATAAATTAATTAATTAATTAATTAATTAATTAATTGTATCTTCTTAAAAAGAAAAGAAAACATTCTTGAAATTTGTAAGATCAGTTCCTTTTAATGGTGGCACACTTTTACATTGTCATCCTGGGTTTCACAAGCAGATGAAATGTTGATGAGTTAGCACCAATCTTTAGAAATACTTATTTTACTTTATTGAAAGATGTCTTCAAAACAGAAGTTGGGAAAAGAGTTATAGAGAATTCCCTCCCCTTCCAGCCCAATGACACCCCATCTTGTTTTGGTGCAGAAAGCTATTATTAGCATTTCATAATAAGTTAGTCTGTGATTTAGGTCACAAAAACTATTTTCAAAACAGACTACCTTAATTAACAAACAAAGAAGCAAACAAATAGGCAAAAGCCCTTATGTACGCTATAAACATATAATTAATCATTCATATCAGGACACTTTCAAGCATGAGAAGGACACACCACTAACACTTTCGCTGGGACAATAAGGACAACTAGGACTGTCCAGAGGAACTGAGTGACATGCTCCCCCTCTCTGGACCCAATAAGAAAGTCAAACTCAGTGACATGCACCTCTCTCCCAGGGCCAGTCACGACCCCAAACAACCTGAAGGTGACCAGGACATACTTGCACTCGCCAAGGCCCAGCCTCCCCCGTGGATATAAATGACACTGCGTTTCAGGGGCTCTTCTGGCTTCGGAGAGCCTTCAAACACTCTGACTTCCACGCCGTCAAAGTCCGTGTCGGTCACCTTCACCTGAGTGGATGACCACGCGCTTTTCTTGCCGAAAGAAGAGATGATAAAATTCAGTGCGACCAGATGATGGCTCAGGCCCAGGTAGTGGATCAGGTTACTCTGTAGGGCGAGGGAGGGAAGGAAGAGGGAGAGCACAGGTCAACGGGGTCATCCCTAGAGCCACGTTCACCAGCTCTGAGAATTTAAATCCTTACAAGCAACTGCTCCTGTACTCGAGGGCTCCCTGGCCACTTTGAACACAATAACGAACTGTATTTACCTCTTGTTTTAGAGCCCACAGAATATTTTCAGGCATTAGATACCCTTTGATTTTCAAGATCAGCTCTGAGAGGGAAATGGAACAGGTATCATCAGACCCATCTCATCACGAAGGCTTAGAAATGAAATCAGCTTGCCTGTGTAGCTGGATGCATGGCCACGCTGGGGCCGAAACCTAGAACTTGTGAATTTGGGGATTTGGTCCATTTTGGTTTCTTTTCTTAGATCAGTATATCACAGTTTGAAAAGCATAGTAGGAGTGCAGGAAGAATACTTAAAGTGCAATTAAAAGAGAAGAAAGTTTCATATTTGCCTTAAGAATTTTTAAAGTGTTTTTAAGTTTATATACTTAGGTGTGTCTGGTGGTTTTGAGAGTGGGAGAAAGAAGTAAGTGTGTGAGAGGGAAGAAGCAGAGTCAGCTGTGGCCTTGGCATTCAGAAGCAGGCCAACTCAGGCATAACCAGGAGCTTTTCAGAAGTGTGTGGAGAACAGAGAGACACCCTTTGAGCTTGAGGGCATTGAGCTCAAGCTCTGCACTAGGTGCTTACAGTAATTTGGCTGGAGAAGGAGCATAGAGAGGAGACCCAAGTCATCCACTCCGCAAAACCCTTGTGGAATGTATTCCCCTCTCTTTACCTCTTATACAAGCTCTCTCTGTTGAGTATACTTATAAAGCTAGCCTCCCTGCAAGATTTAGTGGTCATGTGTCAGAGACAGAGATCTGGAAGCAGTATGGAGGCCAGTGACTGGTCAAACTACAGAGGCTTGGAAGTGTCCGAGTGACTGGACACTGCGCTGGCACACAGGCATGGCTCTCAAACCTCAGGAAAGGGCATCATGAGAGTAACAGCGTCCTTCTGTACAGTGTGAAACAGGACACTGGTGATTAGTGAATATTTAATGCCATCATAAGAAATCAGAACTATATAAAGTCTGTGATACACTTTGACACAGCTTCCCAGCACTGTGTGCACCAGACACAAGAGCGTGCCCCAGAGACAGTGCAGATGTCCTGCTATATACAAGCCCTCAGCCCCTCAGGCAGCCAAGCTCCTGAGCAATTTATCCCAGTGTCCCATGTAAATATCAGTACTGTACACATATGCCATGCTTTGAAAAGAGTTGGAAAGCACTGCATTATAAAACCATTAGCCAGCGTTCATGAAAAACAAGCAAAAGGCAAAATCACCGAGAACAGTGGCTGGCACATACTAAGTGTGATATGAGTTGGTTATTATTATCATTGCAACTCGAAATGTCAGCTCAGGGACAGATAGCCCAATGTTTCTAGAGAAGCTAAGACACTATGTGCATTTGTTATTAGGACCATGATGATTACAAAGTTCTAAAATTGTTTCAGGTTAAACAGATGTAAAACAATGATGTCTAAAAAGTTCATTTGTATGCTTATCTCAAAGGGGACAGGGGGCCTAGGGAAAAGCCACAGTACACTGATACCTATACACATAAATTACTTAGCATGAGGTCAGCTTTCAACATGAGCAAGCCAAGTTAAATACTTAAAGCATCTATTGTAATCCACGACCTGCTTCATATCCTGTATTGAAAGGTTTACATTCTAAGTCAGCAGTTTTCCACCTTTTGCAGTGATGGTCATTTCATCCTGTCAAATGTTTTTTTTTAAATTCTACTCTCTAAATCCTGCCGTACTCCCACTTATTATAGAAATACATATTTTCATGGACCATTTATCTGCTTGAAAATTTATGGTCATATTTTTAAAACACCATAAAGCTGGAGTGCACTTCTAAATGCAGATTTAAATGTCTTTATTGGCATGCAAATTATATGACTTGCACTTGAGGCCACTGTACAGATCACTCGAGACACACTAATGCAGGGATCTTCTGAAACAGAAAAACCTCAGTGTTTGTGGTGAGAAATTACCAAAGGTCACATAACTATCTTCAATAATAATTAACTAGTAAGCTACGGTATGTAAAGATAGACAGGTCCAAAGGCAAATCACAAATACAGGGTCAGAGATTCAAGGAGGCCCAGCCTGGAGGAAGAGCTCAGAGGTAACTGTTAACTCAGATAACAGTGAAACACGGAAAAGGTAGCAAAGAGACAAAACATAGTGTCAAGGAAACAGACCTTGGAGAAAACACTCCTTGACAGGCTGAAAAGAAGTATCGAGAAGGAGAATTCTAGAGAGTGGCAAAAGTAAGACTATGAATCATAGTATAGAAGGCAAATTTGAAAGAGTTTTTTTTAAAGCTAACAATTTGACAATTTAAGGAAGCATAGGACTGACAAACGACCATCTACATAAGTAGGATGTCATGATTAGTAGCCAAAAGAAGTTTTAGGTGCATCACAGGGGCATAATCCAATTATTTCAGTATCCTCGTCATCACGGCCTCTACTCTGCGCCAGAGAAGCCCTGCTCTGCCCCTTGACTACGGCTCCCCTCGGAGATTCAGCAGCTCTGTCAGGATTTCCCCAGGCCTCCTGTTCTAAGCTCCTGGTTGCTCAGATCAGGAGCTGAAAGTGGTAGTCCAGGCTAAGTGCTACTCGGGAATTACGGCACCGTCCCAGTCTTCCTCTACTGATGTGGAAAAGCCTGGGTTTGAATGTCATTTCTACTACTTACTGGTTGTATGTTTTGGTTAATGCTCTTATGCCTTAATTTCCTCATTTGTAAAATGGGAATTAGAGTATCTCACTCACTGAGTTCTTCTGAAGATTAAATGAGTTAACATATGGAAAGCACTTAGAACATGCCTGGCACAAATGAAATACTACATAACTGTTTATTATTATGATTTGCCAACTAATAATTGATATTATTAAAAAGTGTTACTTCAGTTTTTATTCCATGGAACAAACATGACAGCTTTTATATATAGTAAGTTAAATAAGATTATCTACAGTATTTAGGGAACGTTTGCTCAATTTAAGTTTTACAACTTAAACGGTTAGAACAATTTGACTTGGTTTAGGTCATCAGTAACTAACTTTTAAGCTAGCTTGTAATTTATGCTTAATTTGTAAGATCCCAGTATATCTTCTAGTGAATCTGAGATATTATGATTCTTCAAAAACTATTTATAATAAGTATACAACATTTTGAACTTGCAAAAAGAGAACAGTGTTACAACCATCAAAAATTAGCATCAGAATCTCAAAGAAATTACAGGTGACTTGGAAAGGAGAATTAGATTTATAGGCTCATTGCAGAGACTGGAAGGGAGGGAGAGTGGAAAGAGTTTGCCCAGAAGCAACTGGAATGACTATACTCCAGAGAAAGGGAACCTGGAGCCTAGTCTGGGTTCCCAGCCCAGGAAAAAAAAGTATAATTGTCCTACAAATGTAAAAGACATGGTAGTCGTGACATAGACATGCCTTGCAGGGCTAATTCCCATCAAACCTCATTCTTGGAAGTATAGTAGTAGAGCAATTACAACATTTCTCCCAACGTTGCACAACTGAGCCAGTTGGCCAATGCACCACCTCTGAGAGAATGGATGGGACTGAATGGATTCCCCGCACTGGAGGGAAGCCAGAAAGGAACCGCTAGGTGTCGGAGTTGGAGCCTAGCCCTGCTCTTACCAACCGTGTGGTTTTTGCAAAGTTACTACATCATTCTGAGCCTCTGCTTTTCCCATGTGTTAACAAAAACAAATCTCATCTCCTTCCATTAAGTTATTGTGAAAATTTTATTAAAACATCTGACATATAGCAAGCACTGGTATATTACTTTATTCATTGAATCTGATGGTTCTCAAAGCTGGCAGCATATTAATGTCACCTAGAAGTTTAAAATTTTTCCAATGTCTGAGTCCCATCCAACACCTATTAAATAATCATCTCTGAGAGCATGACCTAGGCATGGGTATCTTTTCAGCTCTCGGTGTGATTTCAGTACATAGTGAGGTTGATAATCACTAAGTAAATCAAGTCAACTCATTCATTCAATCACCAGTTAAGCGCCCATTTGGTCATGTCTGGTCTAAGTATTGGGGGTACAGGATGAACTTTTAAAGCTCAAGGGCCTATTTTCGAGAAACATACCAATGTTGTTGGGAGGTCAGGAGGGAGTCTCCCCAGAAAGTACCACCTTGGCAGGTAGATTATTCTGTTAAAAATAATTAAAAGCTCAACAAACTTAAAAAAGGTGTTTTTTTCTTCCTCTTTTCTTGCCTAAGAGATATACAGATAGGAAAACCTGCTTCAGAAAGCGGACCTTAACAGAGTCACCTTCACACAGTCACCTGAGCACGTTTGAATTCAGCATAGCAGACAGGGAGGAGCCAGGCACAAGTCTGTTTGCTGGATTCTCCTTTGTGTCTCATTGTTTCCAGTTGGCCATATAAAAATCTATTTACCAAAAGTTGACTCTTTCTCATCTCTCTTGTGAATTTCCTACCTCCCACTCCTTAGTGCAAATGACATATAGACCTCATTTTGCCCATCTTTGGAATTTTCATGCTTGTGTGAATTCCACATGTGCATGTATTACAGTTTTTTTTTTCTGTTAGTCCGTTGTATTGTCATTTGAATTATTCAACCAGCCAGAAGAACCAAAAAGGGAAGAGGGAAGTTTCATAGGCCATGAAAGTGGGAACATCCTAGACACAGGAGATGATTATGATATGATGTAGAAACTTCAAAACCAGAGCTATGTACATTAAAATATGGAGGGTTGAGATCCAGTTTAGGAGAGGAGAGACAGAGGCTGTCCGAAGAGGCTGCTGGGGGACGGCACTGGCTGGGTTGAACTGAGCTTTAATGAATGAACAATCGGTTGGAGAAGGAGAAAGGGGTGGGGAAAAGCATACAGATGTTTGTGTGTGGGGGACAGGTGTCCACATTTC